CATCAATCTTCAAACAAAGAGAGACTCAAAGTGAAGTTTACAGCAGATACCCCTAATGCAAAACGGCACCAACAAAGCCATAAAGGAACTTTAATGAAAATAAAATTAATACTACAGCAGTTATTCATTGACACAACGTTTTATGAGACAACAGAAGCAGGGAAGACAAAACAAAAACAGAAGATACTTGGAAGTTCTGCTTAAATGCTTGTTAAAATCTGCCACTGAAATTAGCAGTGCAAATAAATAAATAAATAGCTTAAAATAAATCAGTTTTCAGTCACAGATTCTATCCAAACACATAGTTGTCAGCATCAGACAGCTGAACTTTACATCTGAGGAAAACCATGATGATAACCCAATAAACTCTTAATTCCTGGCCCTCAGGACAAGTCAGGAGCTTTCAGTCATTGCACAGGAGTGTGTCAAACAGAAAATAAAAAATACATATGTGAACAAAGTGTGTCACAAACCCATTGCAATCTGTAGACAATACAGAAGGATGAGATGACATCCAAATTATACAGGGATATTTTACTCTACATTTTCATTTACAATGAAGTGTAAAGTAGCAATGTAAAAGAATCTTAAATTGACTGCCAAGGCAGCACCAATGTCCCACAGGTGAGGCAAGGGGTGACAGAAGAGAGCACTGACATTTTACAGGCTGCTAAAGGATCCAACCTAATCTCAGCTGGAGTGGCAAATCCTGAATTTCAAGGCCTCATTTATGGAATCTCAGTGTACCAGATCCCAGTGCACCAGTTCAAATCACACTTACCTCCCCCCAGTCCCACACTTGCAAACACACCTTGGCAATTTTGCAGTTGGGCCCACTGAGAGCAAAAACATTTAGAATTTATAAGAATATCAACCTCACTTAGTATGAAGCCTAAAATAACAAAGCACTGGCCCAGCTGTCAGACAGCAATCAATCCCCTTTGAAGATGATGGACAGACAAAAATACAAGCATGTCCTCAGAGAAGTGTCTGGTCAAAACACCAAGGTATTCCATTGAAAGTCTTCCATGATAGGCTCTGGATCAGGCCCCTGTAACCCTCCAGAAAATGGCAACAACACCCTTTCAACCTGAGAGTCACATGCCCAAAGCATGACTGGAAGTTCAGAGCAGTTTTACTCCACAGACCACACCTCCTGCATCTGCACTCTCTTGTACAGCACTTTTCCAGCCTCTCCATTTCCCAGCAGAACAATGCAGTTTGCAGGGCAGCAAAATGGCATTGAAATTTGTACCCAGGAATGAACCTGTAAACAGCACAGGAATTATGCATGCATTGACTAATATGCTTCCTGTTAACAAATCTGAACATGCATGTAATGTTTAAACCTTAAACCTCTTCAGAGGTTTCATATTCCTTTTTTCTAAAATGGAACTGCATTTCAGTCTCCATCTTTCCTGAACTCAGCTCTGAAGCTGCTCTGTCCTCAAAGATGCAGAAAATAGATCTGACAATGTCATCCCCATGTCAGCTGTCCCAAAAAGGTGCACATGCTCTCCATAGTTCCTGTCTCCATGGACTGAGCTGTGCACAGTCCAGACACACAATAAATGGAGCAAGCAGCAGTTGTTAGGTTTATCTGAAGCAGAGGGCAAACAAGCCCTAAATTAGGTCAGGAAGCAATTTTTTTCTCCTGGAAATCACACAGTAATGCTCATTTCCAAAATCTTACTCCTCATAATTATAAAATAAATATTACATTTTCTCAGTCACTATCCCAACATTATTAGAGTCCACACATCATCTTCCCCCCTCATTTCAGCATGCAAAGCAGCAAACTCTTGTAAATGGCTTATTGAGACGAACATAAAGAGAACAACTCTCCATTGCCAACCCCCTTGTGATGCTACTGTCCATTTCCCACTGCAGAGTGCACAGTAAGCTCAGAGCTGAACAGGACCAGGTGCCTTTTCAAATTCCTTTTGGAAGCTGGCTGATCACAGAACTTGACCTCGATGTTGCCATCACTGAATGCCTCCCTCCTGCCTTCGTCCCAATCCGTGGGATCTTTCTGAGATGCACTTGGCTTTTTCCTCCTCATGGTAATTCCTGAGTTCCCAAGCTGCCTGCTTGGGGATGTGTTGTCTTTCATAACGCAGAAGCAGAGGGCAGACAGAAAATTTTTCTTGAAGTTCTCATTCATGAAAGCATACACAATAGGGTTACAAATAGAATTGAAGAATCCTATTATCTGGACAATTGCAAAAATCATTTTGATTGTCACATCATCATACTCCTTCTCAAAATTACCTGCAGAGAAGAAGAGAAATATGTTCTAAGTACAGAAGGTCATAAATGCTTACTACTTAGTCTGTTTATATCCAGTTTGGCATTAGATGTTTTTGTTTAAAATCAACAAAAACCCAGGCTGGAAGCTCTTAACATTAGCAATTGAGTTTTCTCAACAAGATAAAATCAAGATCTATCACACAGTCCTGCTTTGTGTGTAGACAGTAACAGAATCAAAAGAAAGGAAATTTATGAGCCAAAAAAGCTGACTGGCTGAACTATTGATTTATCTGCTACAATCTTTTTTGTGACACAAGACAAAGGAACTCTACTTGCCTTTAGCAAGTACAGTACAACTACTGAAAAATTCCTCTTGTTCCTGCTCACAGGCTGCTCCAGTATCCATGGAAGAGGTGGGAGTTGAACAGTGCAAGACCCCAGAGAATAAGGCAAATAGCAAAAAAGCCAACACAAAAGCATTGAGGGCATTTCCAAGCCAGTTTTCAGCAAAGAGCACTGAAAAGCTCCAGCTGGATTGATTGGATATCATCACTGTGATGTCCAGTATTTATATTTCCAATATGCCTACCACAATAAAAGGGATAAATATTTCATTGCAAGTGTAACTCAAAACAGTTAAGTTAAATTAAATATAATTAAAAACTTCAAGATGTTTTATGCTCAGAAATAACTTTTACCTTCCAGCCAAGCCCTTTTGGCCTTTCAGCAAATGAGGGCAACATAACAGACATGATAAGAAAAAAAATCTACACAGGCTCACCCCTCTAACACTCCTGGTTTTCCTTAAAGCACAACATCAACCTTTGCTAGCTGAAGGTGTTTCAGAGCTGAATGCTGTAGCATCATTAGCTTCTCACCATCTGAAGTCCCATGAACTAATAAAAACCCCAAAACTCCAGACTTGATTCTATGAGATATGGCAGGTACTCACTGTACTCCATCATCATGTGAATCACATGGAAAGGGGCCCAACAGACTGCAAAGAGAAACACCACTGTCACCATCATAACAATTGCTCGCTTCTTCTTCCTGAAATTGCACCAAGAATTCCACACTGAATCACTGGGAACTGGCTGGCAGTTACACATCTCTCTTCAAGTTACATCTGGGACTGTGTTCTGGTGGCTGCAGATTCAAATAAAACCCTCAAGGAAAGCTCAGAAGTACACAATCCCCTTGGAAAGAAAAAAAATGCATCATGGTATAAATCTAGCACTTGATTTCTCTTTTTTGGGACAGCAGAGCACTTTGCAGCATGACAGCAGCATGTCTTGCAAGGCATTTTCAACTCTATTCAGAAGGAATAATAAAAAAGTCAGGAATAAAGCTTTCTAGAAGTCAAAGTTCCAAGTGCATTTTGCTTACAAACCTTGATATTTTAGACATTTCACTCCCATGAATGGTTTGAAGAACTGAAGCGTCTCCCACTCGTTTCTTAATCCAGAGTTCATAGCCAATTTTAGTGTACAGAAAGAGCATCAGCATCAGAGGCAGAAGGAAGAGTATAACAAGAATAAAGGTCGTATAGATCTTCTGATAAATGGGACTGGCCCATTCTTCCAAGCAACAAACATGCACTTTTTCATATAAAAAGTCATATTTAACCTGTAACAAATGCAAAGAAGATGAGTCAATAAAGTGTTTTATCCCAAGTGTAAAACCCAAGCACATTCAGATATTCCTTGCTCTTAATGGAACAACTGAAATTCAACAGATTTTTCAGAGTGACAAAAGTCTTTCAAGCACTTGTCCAATCAAATACTTGGTTCAATCCAAACGGACAAAAAGAGGCAGGGAGATGCTCTGATTTGTACTTCAAAGGAGACCTTGGCTACTCATTTTGCAAGTAAAGATGGATGCATGGAAACCTCACATTAGCCACTTGAAAAAACAAGAAAATTATCAACATTCAGATTCACAAGCAGCAGATTCTGCTAAGTCTTCTGCCTAACCTCCAAACGTGTGTGGTAACTCATCAACTATAATGAGCAGCTAATTAATTCTAAACTAAGCACAGCTCTTCCAGATGTTGGGGAGCATTGTGTCATCCTGAAACAACAATCTAAGCCCTCTATTCCTGTGTGCCAGTGCAAAAGAAATCCACAGTGGAAGTCACAGATGTAATTAACTCTTCTTTGATGTAATTAGGGAGAGCAGCCATGACTAGTACATGCAAGCTCTAATCCTCAGCCTTTCCCAGGCTGGCATACAGAACCAAAGCTCCACCTCCCTCCCTTATCCCCCTCTAATTTCACAGGAGTTGATTCAATTTCACCTAAAGGTGGAGGAAGATGCAGCAAGGACTGAGTTCAATAAGCAAACCCCCAATGACCTAACTCACCTCAAGGCGCTGCACGTACCACATGGGCGACCCCACAAGGAGAGCCAGCACCCACACTATGCCTGTAAACAAAGACATTTTTTCATACTTTGTCCAACAAGCAGGATGTGCTATGAACAGTTCAACAGCTTTGAAAAGTCAGGCAAGGTAGAAAAGTGTAGCAAATAATAAAGTTTTCTATGAGGCATTCATCAGTCAACACATCAATAAGAGCATGCTCTTTTGACAGCAGCTGTCTGTCTCTCAAACCACCTCCATGTATTGATATTCCACAGGGAAAAGCACTCAATCTGCACAAGGAGCATTAAATAAACCTCTTTGTGTAACAATGGAAGGGTCATTTCCCTGGGACACTTTTTAATCAGGGCTTGCACATTTTGAACTTTTCTTAAAAAAAAAAAAAAAAAAGGGGGCTAAAGGTTCATCTTGGTTAAGTACATTTTGGACTTCACATGCTAAGTCCCTTGTGAGAGCTTTGGCTGGTGAATACTTCACTTGTAGGCACTATCCTTGAGCTATTTTATAAAGGTCAATTAACTCTGCCTCTGAATCACTGGTCATATCACTGCCATCTGCGGATCCACACTGAAGATCATTTCTCACACACAATTACTGGAGATGCCTAAAATCTTACCAAGCATGGTGAAAGCTCTTTTATTGGTGTACTGCCACTTCATTTTCAGTGGATGCACAATTCCCTGGTGTCTTTCCACAGCAATGCAGGTCATGGTAAGGATCTCAGTTACAATAGCAGTGGACTGGACAAATGGAACCATCTTGCAAGCAAAGGCACCTGCAATAATGGGAAAGTAAGGCATGCAACAGCTGTTAACTCCATTACTAAAAACAACAGCCCAAGATTGTTAAATTTATTGTAACATCTCAACTGCTGAGTCACCTATTTAAGCCATTTGTCAAATGCAGCTCTCCATAGCCATTCTTTGTTGTAGACATCTACAAAGCCAAGATTTCTAAGGACATATTCACTTCTAGGGGTCACCAGTCTGACACTTACCCCTATTTCACTTTTGACCAAGTCTTCCATCATCTGTTTTCAAACACCTCCAGTTACAGAGCCATTTATTATTTTTTCATTTTGGCAGACTATGAAGGTCTGAGTGTAACCTGTTTAAAAGTTTGCCTTTTCTGCTGTAGCAAACACATTCCCTAAGCTCATTTACATATCACTCTATCTGAACACTTCAGCATTTAATGCATCATCCTGTCAAATGAGATTTATAGAGAAGGAGGTGTAAGAGGAAAAATTTAACCCCTTCATCATCCTTCTGTTCTCCAAGTCTTCCTCTCTGCTGATTACCAATTTATGTTAGTGCCACTTTCCAATCCAAATGCAATTTCCTGCCTGTATTTTCTAAGTCCTACAGGTTCCTATTGTGTTTATGCAACTTCAACTTTTATTGCTGACACAGCTTTCCAAAGCCCATATTCAATTTTTAATGTGTTAGTCATTCTCCATTACCCATTCTCAAGTCCTAACCATCTTAGAAAGTCATATAAATAATTCTGTTAAAAAATCATCTTACTTTAATGCCCTTCCCAATCTACTTCTCTTTTACCCATTTGTTGACCCTGAGATAATTTTCTCTGTACTTCCACAGTTTCCTTACACTCTCTTACAGTTCAGTATTAGCTATTCTTTTCAGGGTTATTTGTCCTTACCAGACTATTATTTACACCTTACTCAGATATAATCCATAAACCCAAAACAGCCTAAGAAGTATCTGATCCAATTTTCAGTCAGGCTTTAAGATGCTACAGACACCTTAAGCAGTAACAGCACAAAAAAAGAGAAAACAAACAGAAAACTCTGAAAACTTAATCCTACCTTCCATGAAGGGAACAAGCCAACTTCTGCTTGATAGGCCAGGCTAAAATCCACTCCAGCTTACAACAAGGAACTGGTTTGCTACTGGTCTTGCCAATCCTAGTTGCCCCAAAAATCCCTTTTTCTGTGGCTCCACGAAGGGAAGGAGAGGACAAACAGCAATGGGTGGAAATCAAGCACATATTCAACACCAGCAGCATGATGGATGTGCACACAGATCTGGCTTAAACCAGAATAAAAACACATCATGCAGCCCTTTCAAGTTCCTTGCATGAAATCTTAGCATTTAGCCAGTAGCAACTGCATGGCTGAGGATGCATTGGGCTGCATAAATACATATACCCAATATGTATTTGTCCAGAGCATCAGGGAGAGCAAAACAAGACATCCTCACATCTTCTATCAACTGCAATTTATAAAATAAAACTGCCCCTGCTCCTTCCTGGGCATCAGTAATGCCTAAGGAGAAGTCTCATGAAACAGACACAATATTTTACTAACTCAGCACCTCATCAGCTTCTCACTACACCCAGTACAGAACGTGCTGCACACACAGCACCAGACCCACTCTGTCAAACTCACATCCTTCACCCAGTGGGCTCCAACTTCTGTTGTGAGATCAAACCAAAAGCAAGCTCAAATCCTACCTGCTCTGCACACAGCAAATGGCCAATGTGACCAAAGAGCTGGTTTTCCATTTCTGCATCACTAAGTTAGAAGGGACTCCTGCTACAAATAAACAGAAGAGCCAAACTTGTTAATGAAATGTTTACATTTCTGTTTCACTAAGGAAATAAGTTCAGGTCTGAGTGCTGAAGCTGGAGGAAAACTGAAAAAAAAAAGCAAACAAACACAAAACCAAGCTAAAAAAACAACTCAAACTTTCACCATAGGCTATTTCTTACAGTTTGAAAAAGGCCAGACTCAAACCCACTTGAACTAAACCTGCCTTACAGGATTGCCCTGTAATGCACCCAACATCCCAGGGCACTCTTAGGAAGCACAGCAGCATCACTAT